CTGACAGTGATAGCTCCGTGTGTGTGTGTGTGTGTGTCTGTGTGTCTGTGTGTGTGTCTGTGTGTCTGTGTGTGTGTCTGTGTGTCTGTGTGTGTGTCTGTGTGTCTGTGTGTGTGTCTGTGTGTCTGTGTGTGTGTCTGTGTGTCTGTGTGTGTGTCTGTGTGTCTGTGTGTGTGTCTGTGTGTCTGTGTGTGTGTCTGTGTGTCTGTGTGTGTGTCTGTGTGTCTGTGTGTGTGTCTGTGTGTCTGTGTGTGTGTCTGTGTGTCTGTGTGTGTGTCTGTGTGTCTGTGTGTGTGTCTGTGTGTCTGTGTGTGTGTCTGTGTGTCTGTGTGTGTGTCTGTGTGTCTGTGTGTGTGTCTGTGTGTCTGTGTGTGTGTCTGTGTGTCTGTGTGTGTGTCTGTGTGTCTGTGTGTGTGTCTGTGTGTCTGTGTGTGTGTCTGTGTGTCTGTGTGTGTGTCTGTGTGTCTGTGTGTGTGTCTGTGTGTCTGTGTGTGTGTCTGTGTGTCTGTGTGTGTGTCTGTGTGTCTGTGTGTGTGTCTGTGTGTCTGTGTGTGTGTCTGTGTGTCTGTGTGTGTGTCTGTGTGTCTGTGTGTGTGTCTGTGTGTCTGTGTGTGTGTCTGTGTGTCTGTGTGTGTGTCTGTGTGTCTGTGTGTGTGTCTGTGTGTCTGTGTGTGTGTCTGTGTGTCTGTGTGTGTCTGTGTGTGGGTGTGGGTGTGTGTGTGTAAGATCGTGTGCTCTGATAAGCTTCTTCCTCATGTCTCACCCTGGTCTCTGAGTCTCTGCCTACATCTCTGGATCTCTGGTTCAATACGGAAGAATAAAAAATAAAGCAAAACAAAATGTCAGTTTGTCAGATTATCATCACGACTCCCACGACACCTCTCAGGTGTGTCGAGTGTTTGTTTGTGAGTGAGATATATTTCCTTATAATCAGATCACACTGTCCTAACCTTTTTCTGTCCTCACAGTTCTTCAGATCCAGATCCAGATCCAGATCCAGACTCCAGGTTCCAGGTTCCAGGTTCCTGAACCATGTGGTCATCCGGCTGATTCTGGGTTTAACTCAAGTTTACTTCCTGTTTTACTTTAAACCAGGTTAGATCACCTCCAAACCTGTGCTGATCTGAACCAGGTTAACCTCAGACCATATATGAAATATATGGACATATGAAGTAAAATCATATATGTACTTACATTTGTATACAGCCTATGTATATATAAATTACATGTCGTTACTGTTAGAAATGTCATATATTGACCTATATGTCTCCCAAAGCTCATCAGTATATGTTGATATTATGTAAATATAAAAGATAGACATGTACGTTTAGAATGAATAAGAAAATCATTTAAACATATATAATTTTAATAAGTATGTTGTTTTGATAAACTTCTGTTATAATGTTATATCTTCATACGTCCAGAGGATGTTTACATGTGATAATAATACATCCTATAGGTGACATATGGTAACATCTGTGTTGGTGTATAGGATCATATATGTCATATATTACATTTCTGCATGAGGAGGATCAGAGGAAAACCTGCCCGACGACTGACCAATCAGATCACTGGAAACACAGAGTCATCAGGAAACAAAGAGTTTACATTAAATAATTACATTCAGCTTCTAACAAACTGATTATGGGACAATCGAATCTTGACATAAATAAATAAATAAATTAATAAATTTGACAAAATAAAACCTGAAGTGAAAAAGGAAAAAGCGTAAAAAACATAAAAAAAATCTGAAGATTCAAAAACATCATTCTAGAAAAAAATGTCAAAATTAAATAACATAATAAGATTGTAGGTTTTTTTTAATGCCTGTGTTTAATTTTTCAGCTTTAATATTTCAGTCAGTGCCAGTAAAACTTTTTCTATTACAATGCTGTTGTTTCCTTTTTCAGTTCAGGGACTGTTTCTGTTTCTTTTTTTGTTTTTTTCCTTTTTTCCAAATCTGATTTTTTTTTTTTTTTTTGTTGTTTCACTCTTCGCTGAATTTTTCAAAGTAAAACGTCCATTTGTTGAATTCTTCCTAAAGACAAACACGTTCTGCGGAGGGTGAACGGAGGTGAGTGGTTGGATGTGGTTCCTCTTTTGGCCATTTTGCTTTCAATATTTATATATTTTTAAAAAGTCTTAATTTACCCAGAATTCATTGCTCCACAGTCTGGGTTAGAGATAGTCAAGAAGTAAACTGCTTCGTGCAACAGATGGATTCAGGCCCAGTCTGTCTCCAGGTTTTTTTCAACACCAAGTTTTATTTTCAGTGTCAAAATGTTACCTTCACTGTTCCAGCTCCGTAAGTGATAAATACAGATGTAATGACAATCAACAGCTGTGTTTTGATTCTGTGTAAGTTCCTGTCTCCGTGTTGTGGAAAAGAAATGACCCCCCCCCCCACTTTAATTCTATGTGGGAAACAAGCTCTCACAAGTGTTAATCCAATTTTTCCAGTGTTACACTACTTGTTGACATTAATTCAATTACACAGTGT